TGTAGGACTGTTGGCGCAAGCTAGATTCAAGTGATTATTACGTTTTGAATATGGATATTTTTCTTACAAAAACGCATCGTTTCGCTACAGGAGGCCTTTGTTCACTCCCCGGATCCGTGTGAGACATTTTTTTTTTTATGGATGGGCGCTTTTTATTTCACTTCTTTTGGACTGATGCATGCAACACCCGCTGAGTGGCATTAAACAGCTTGAAAGATCAAAGACAATTTTAATATAACTCTGACTGGATTCGTCTGAAAGAAGAAAGTCATATACACCTAGGATGACTTGAGGGCGAGTAATTTATGGGCTAATTTTAATTTTTGGGTGAACTAACCCTTTAATGTGTCTAATATAATGTTACCCAGTTTGCGACGGGCATTGGGTCTGACAGCATCCCTTGGCAGGCAGCCCTGTTTTAATAATTAAGTACTTAAGTGCATCAATTTTCCTTAAACAGAGACATCTGTTTTCACTTTAAAAAGATGAAATTCGAAAGATAGAAATAAAATGACAAGATGGAGATTTAAAACAAGCCACAAACATACAGTATCCCAATGTGGTTTTTATGTGTTCCTTAATTGTTCCTTTAAACAATTTAATCTGCATTTCTTAAATGTCCCTCTCTCCACACCTTGGGTTGATGGAGATAGTGGCAACATCATTCAGACAAATGGTTTGAATCAGATGTGCAGTCCAAAACAACCCATGGAGGTTCCGAAAGCCAGTTCTTCATTTTGCTTCCATACAAACAGTTATTTAGCCTGTAGCGCACATTGTGTGATCAGCCATATGAACACCAAGAACTTTAAATTAATATAAAGAAGACCCTGTTCCTTTTCATTCACTTAAATGTATGCACTAGAAGTGCACTTAAGTTACAGTAGATGAACATAATTGTGTAATGCTCTTATCTGTACTCTTTGGTCTCTTTAGTATCAGGGGACTGTACTAGAACGCCAATAAATGTTCTTTTACAGGTTAAGCAAGTAAGATCTGCAAGTAGTAATGACTGTCTTCAAACATGTTTCCCAAGCACTCCTCTTGTCTGCTATTGGTCAGTCAAATATAGCCCTGCACCCAAACTCGTGCCATTGATTGCACATTTTAAGAGTTTTAAGAGTTTATCTAGATTAGTCTCTCACAGACCTTCGAGGTTAAAATATCAAGTGAACAATGACCCCAAACAGAACCTCTCCTCTTTACTGACATCTTTTAACTGTTGCTCTCCTTTCCCCTTCTTCGTCCTCTTGCAGCTGTTATCATTTCTTCTCCTGACTGCTAATAAAAACAGATTTTCACCTTGCCACAGGCTGCTGGAATATGATAGAATATCTGATGGTGCTCATATCAACGGCAGTGGGGTGTCATATTGAGCAGAATGCCGCCCACATAAGGATGAGTGACCTTGCTACTCTCAGCCCTTGAAGGTAGCCAGGGAACAATTCTGAGCCAATAAGCATGCCTTGGCTCATGCTAGCCTGGTAGAAGTGTATGTGTGTAAAAATAAGGGTCAAAAAATCTGAATAACCCAAAACACTACGAAATATTAATGTGTGCTAATTGAGATTGTTTTCCAATTGTTCCCTCTATGAATGAATCTTCAAACTCATGGCAAAAGGAATCATATTTCACTTGTGTTGAGTTGTGAATGCAATTTTGCAGTCTATATTGAATGTGATGCAAAAAACTGTGTACTACTAAATATTTGCAAGAAATGTGTTTGTTTGTGAATGAGACTACATTGGTCATGGTGTATGTAGACAAATAACTTTTCTCTTCTTTTAGTGAATCAAAAAACATACTGTACAGCATGACCACTGTTCATTATAAGCAAATGAATCAGAATCACAATTTAAAATCAGAAGCAAAGTCATGCAAATTGAGTGGAATCGAATCAAAAACAAATCAAGAGTTTTGTGAAATACTGTATCAATACATACAACTGCCCTACCTGTGGAGAAAAGTCTGTGAATAAAAAAAAAAAAACCTGTGCATAACTCAACCAGCATATAAATCAATACAATTTTTTGTAATTCTTTCAGACACATTTTCAGATCTAGCGGACTCCTCCTTGGCAAGAATTGCTGCTCTGGGGTGTCTTCTGGACCATCTACAGACCCATGGAGGGCAGTGTCTTCCCTTACTGCCGTGCAAACATATTAAAGCATGTTTGCCCCTAAACAATGCCTGTGGCAACAGATATTACCTCACGCATCTGTTTATCCTCATGCTCCCCCGGGTCAGAGTGCAGGCAGACGGTCATACGGGTTTGTACAGGGCCATGCGAGATAACAGTCCACTTGACCAGCTCACCCCGACATACCTCTGAGAATCAGGGATAACTGCAAAAAAAAAAAAAAGACATATTCCTAAGCAATGGACATCACAAGAAAAGTTCATGTTCGGAGGGGCGCTTTTTTTCCACATCTAGCTCGTATTTGCATATTTGATGGTGGAATTTTTCTAAAGTAGAAACACACAATAGACCAACCATTAAACAAATAAATGTGACAATTCTCCCGGCCACTGATAATTATAGTTGTAGTAGTAGTAATAATACTACTAATAATAATAATCATCTCCCGGCCGACAACAACAACAATAATAATAATAAATAACTGATAAGTGAAATTCTCCTGACCAATAATAATAATAATAATCTGTAAATGACTAAATATTACAGCAAATAAATAAAATTGCAATCTCTTAAAAATACCCAAAGTAGGCTACTAGTAACAATGAGGAAAGCGGAGTATAAATTGAACAGAAGCTGATTGAATGCTCTGTTTAGTGTAATGAGGAACACAGGCATTATATGCTGAGGTCTTGAAGATGGCGTATGTGTGTCTCAGATAAACACAGACATGTCGAGAGGCTGGAGATTAGGTGTGCAGAACGGATGTCTCTCACACACACAAGCACACACAGTCTCGCAGCTGCGACAGTGTTTCTGCATAAGCGCTACCTCGGTGTCCCCTTGTGAGTGAAGAAGATTAATTACATAGTTACAAGTCCGATCTGTTGACTGGGCATAATTAACCTTTTTTATATGCAGGGTGAAAAAAATAAAGATCCAAAAACACATTTTTCAGAGGAGTATTTAAAGACGTACCATCTGAATACATTTGCATGGGGATGACGCCTGTGCTTGAGAAAATCATTAGGCCTATCGAATTGCAACCATATTTTATTTTTGATAGCCAACAGAGCAGACATTTCTACACCTTAATTCCTGACAACATCATCAAAGGCTTTAATCTTTGAGGAAAAGAAATGCTACACATTTTGCAGTGCAAAATTACATCAGCCACCCTCTGAACTCTGAAAAACATGATGTGACTGTCATAACTGAGTCGAGGATGCGTCATCCAGCGGCTCATCTGGCATATGTGAGAAAAGCCTCAAAATGCATCTCATTAGGTAAACGTACTTCACCAAACAGGAGCTCAGTAAATAACATAAGCGTCGTCGTGATGTATATCTCTGTCATATCGCTCTTGTAAATGACTGGAGAGGAGTGTGCGCGAACATCACTCAAGCACCGGTGTTGCTCTGATGAATGCACTTTTATCAACACCGGGCTTTCCAGACAAATGGCTTTTAAAACAAGTTGCAACCGCCACAAATCCATCAGATGTCTAAACTGACCTCACGGTGAACCCTGGGTCCCATGAAGACCCATTACGGACCCAATCAAGACTGAGGTAGGGAGAGGTCTGCCACTGCCTGTCATTTCTAACACCCTCTATCCTATACTCAATCATACACACTGTATTTCCCCAAAGACCAAACCCAGTGAGGTTTAAAGGGATAGTTTGCTCTAAAAATTCAATTCTGGCATTATTCACTCACCCTTGAGATATTTTAAATCAGAACTTTATCTTCTGTGAATGATTATGGTCGCTCTTTGTCATGCATGGGGACTGGAGACTTCAAGCTTCAAAACCGACACAAAAGCATTATAAAATGGGTCTATATGACTCACATACTGTTTTCACAAGTCAAATCATAGACCAAAAAAAAAAAAAAAAA